ACAACCAAAGGCTGAGCAGCCTCCCAGTGCCCCGAGCATCAAGAGATAGGAGGATTGTCAGGCCTCGAACCGGCAGAGCACCGCCCCAGCGGCAGACCAGTGCGAGCTAAAAAAGGAAAAACAGGGAAGGAGTCAGACGCAGCCGACATCCACCACCAAAAAAACCAAAAAGCATGGGCACCTCCCGGGCGGCAGATGCCAATCGGCCATGCGCGGACATATGGGTTGCCTTCGGTGGTCGGCTGGTTGGCCGGTTCAACCACCAATACCTATTTTTAGGTTGGATTTTTAGTTTGGAAAGTCCAAATAAAAATTTTTTTGGGTCTCCATAATCGTTTTTTGACGTTCCAAACACAATTTTTTCACTTTTGGAACTAAACGATGCTTCCATGATCAAATTTGAGCCAATTTAAAATTTTTAGCGCAATTTTTTCAACATTTTTGTTTTCGAGTAATTTGAAAGGCCGTGCTATATATTTTCAGACATCTGGAGCTTTAACGTCAAAAAATATGGGGAAATTGATATATCATCAGAAAATTATCATGATCAGGTATGAATCTCGAGGCAAAATCAAGTTAGAAACTTCAAAAAATAAATTAGAGATCATATGAACTTCGATTTCAGCAAACTAATAACTGAATTGAACGTCTCAAAAATACGAACCAAACGATGCCAAATTAGACTCAATTCAAGCTCAAATGAGTCCAAATCAATAACCCAAAGCGTATTTGAAAGGTTCAAACCATAATTTAGATCACCAAATGGGTTTTAAACGTGTCATGCTTATAGTCGAATCGAGCAACTCGATAAGAAAAATTGAACGAGCATAAGATTGTCAAATTATGATATCATTAAGACATTCAAATGCCTAGAAAATGGTTTTGGATCAAGGGATTCAACATCGTCCGTGCATTCAAACCACTTACACTTTACCCTTGATTTTCTTTCTATTTACTGGCCATGCTACTCTTAAAAACTATAAATAGACCCCTCATGTCTTATGGAAGGGGACCGAATGAAGAAGTAAGTAAAGGAAGGTAGAGAAAGAAGAGAGCCCTCTTGCCCTCAGACTCCTCCTCGACCATCATCGGACTTCCACTAGGCCGCTGATCACTGACGCCGGACATCCGCCCAGACATCAACTGTCGTTGGACTTTTGTTCGGGTGCCAACCGATGTTGGATTTCTTCCTGGACACCAACTAAGGCCTGATTTCTGCCCGACCACCAACTGACGCAGGATTTCTGCCCGGACACCAACTAATGCCGAATTCTTGCCCAACCACCGGTAGACACATGGCTTACACTCGGCCACCGACTGATGCCAGACTTCCACTTGGCCACCGACTGACGTCGGACTTCCACCCGACTTCCAATTATTCTTGGACTTCAACCTGACAATAGTCCTTACGACTTCCATCGCCAGATAACGATATTTATGACCTCTGTCAACTATCGACAACGGTCTTTCAGACCTCTAACACCAAACTACGATCTTTCCAACCTCTGTCGCTTGTCGACTATGATCCTTTTGACCTTTGTCACCTGCCAACTATAGCCTTCCAACAACCGTCACCCGATTACAGTCTTTATGACCTTTGTTGCCGCCGACTACCGTCCTGCCGCCCAAACTAACATATCAATACAGATTCTTCCAATTTCCACAGTGTAATGCATTTTATATGATGTATTTGTTACGTCAAATTAATGCCTTCCCTCCAATGAAAGGCCTCATTTGTAATCAACTGTAAATACTAGTGGATTCTTTCAAACTGAGCTAAGCCCCATGGTTTTTCTCATTTTTGGAGATTTCCACGTAAAAATCTTAGTCTCTTATAAATACGGCAATCTCTCTTTTTATCTGATTGTGTGCTGGATATTCATAAAAAACTAAAATGTTAAACTTTATATTTCTCTACCGCTGTGTATATTCCAGAAGGCCACAATAGATATTATAACATTTTTATAATAAAAAAGTTGAAAAAATCATACAAATACGATATTATGATATTCTAATAGATCTAATTATAAAAAAATTATTTCTCAATATTAAAAAAGAAAAAAAAAACTAGTCATAAAAGACTAAAGAATAAAACGCCAAATGAACCAAAATCTAATCATCTGATGCTGAAGTTCCACAGCCACATGACTCCACCGTGGTTGGATAATTTTAAGCATTAATTTTATATTTTAACGATTATAACTAAATTCATTTTACGCACAAAATAAAAGAAAAAATCTATCTCGTGGACCCGAGGCCAAACCAAAAACTCGACGCTTTCAACAACCCTGCCGAATGACGAATAATCAAGTCAACCGTCTTATCCATTCACCACCAAATCCCAAATTAATTAATTATTAATCAGTTTATTCCGACAAATATCTTCATTAATATGAAATTAGCCCCAATTAGAATCTACCCACAATTCTCAACCAACTGTCCTAAATCTAATACACCTTTCAATCCAGAAACCCAAGACCTCTTCGCCCCATATTCTGCCACGTTATCTTCCCAATGTCAGCAGATATTGGCGTGACTGGCGTGTCATTAGGTTTTAATCAGGTCGATCCCAACCCACCTAGGCGTGCCACAGGTCTCATCCCAGAATCTAATTTGAGTTAAAAAATGGGTTCGGATCGTGCCCGTATACCGCCTATTGTTTGGTTGCTTCAAACGGTGGGGACTGTCAATGAGAATATTCCTACGCCTCTTATTATGAAGACATTGATATCCTCACAACAGCGATATATTGTGCTGCCGGTAATTTAAGGGTAAGAATATCATCGTGCGTTGCCATATTTCCAACCTGATGTTTTGGTAAATTCTTGTCTGGAAAGACCGAAAAGAAGAGAGATTGAGGGAGAGATATCTGTGTGTTTCGGCGTAGAGGAGATGTCGAGAAGAAGGGCGTTTTTACGCAGTTTCTCCGGTGCTTCAATTTCGATCGATTTCTTCGGTGAGTCGCGTAGGCGGATGCGGGAGGATTTGGAGGCAGCGCCGCTGCCGTCAGGTGTGGAGAGGGAAGAGCTCGCGGCCGCTGGATTTCTCGGAGTGGAGAAAGATGGTTGGTCGCGAATGCTTCCTGAGCTGATGGTGGATATCATAGGGAGGGTGGAAGCGAGTGAAGAACGTTGGCCCCTGCGGAAGAACGTGGTTTCCTGCGCTTGCGTATGCCGGAGGTGGAGGGAGATCACCACTGGTGTTGTCGGATCTACTAAAGACACCGGAAAGATCACTTTCCCTTCCTCCCTTAAGCAGGTAGGTTCATGGTTTATCCGTCTAGGGTAAATCAGGAAGATAATATGGTGATTATGTTGGGTTTTACTTTCCTGTTTAAAATGAGAGAAATTCGTTGCGGTAAATCTAGATTGCGTGGGTCGGTGATGCTTTTGGTTGATTTAACGAATTTGCTGATTTTTTTTTTTTTGGTTGTTTACCTAATGCAGCCGGGTCCGAGTGATTTACCTATCCAGTGCTTTATTAAGAGGAACAAGAAGAACTCAACGTTCTATCTCTATCTTAGTTTAACCCAGAGTAAGAAAAATGCGGCAATTGGCTTTTTATATATATTATTTATGAACATATATCTTACTTTTCAAAATAAGGACTTTTCTTTTCTTGAATTTGAGTTGAATGGGAAGTAATACGATTCCAAGTATTTCGTTGGTTCTGAAAAGCTTACATTGTTTACTTGTGAAGGGCCTCATTTTACTTATCTTTTGGTATGACTTCCTGTCTTAATTTGTGCTTCATATCACTCTCTGCACTTGTTTGGAATTCCTCTTTGATAACCGTCATATGTGCAGAAAAGTTCTCGGCAAACATGATTTGGCCAATTTAATGCCACTCCATTAGCACATGCTGTGCCCTTGTAGTCTAAATATGAAGATTTGGTCTTATGAACCTTTGCTCAAGCTTTTTTTAGAACTCTAACAAGACAATTAGCGGGTTTATGTTTGCTCATTTTGAGGTCCGTGCAATTTAAGAACATGAGCTTTGGGTCACATTTGATCCGTGAAAATTTTTGTTGTTATTGTTAGATCCAATTTTATTTGTAGGTAATATAAAGGCCTTATTGATAAGCACGATTTTGAGCCTGAGTGGAAAGAAGAAAGTGAAAGATGAAAATAGAGAGATGACAATGAGAATCTTATTAGATTTTTATGTAAAGAAGTGTATAACTGATGTCAAATGAGCCCGCCAAAATGTTCTAAACTTATCCTTTGACCCATATTTATAGACCCCAGGAATGACTACAACTAGGAAATATAAGAAATTTAACATAGAAAGCTTAATAAGCTTGTTATGAAGTGAGTAAATCTTGCTTGCTGTCAATTGTCTAAGTAATTAGGTGGCTTATGTAGAGTTTCACCTAGAAATTGAATTCATTGGAACTAAATCTCCTTAGAGTTTTATTAGCCAAGTAAGCTGATTATTTTGGCATATTCTTTTGACAGATTTACTTGACCAAGTGTGTAATCTTAGTGAATTAACAACTTCAATTACCAAATTTCATAGGCAAGTGGAGCCTTTCTCATAGAAACTTTATTAAGTACTTCTTTCGATAGTTTGAGACTTTGGTTGACTTAAGTACTACTTTCACAACTTTAACCTTGATGAGCATCGAGTAAGGATTTAATTTAAGTGAAGTGCGTTAAGGATGAAGATAAAAAAAATACTTGTATTAGAATAGGATATTCTACGAAGATGGATGAGATATTTTGGTAAGCTTTTTAATGAAGATTGAGGGAATACGATTGGCTTTACTGACCTTAGCCCTCTAAATAAAAATTGAGAATTTTGTTTTTCTCGCAGTATTAGTAAAACCGAAGTTAGAGAGGCCTTAAAGAAAATGAAGTGTGAAAAATTGGTTGGACCTTATGATATTCCAATATTGGTGTGGAAATGCTTAGGACATGAAGGAATTTTTTGTCTTACAAGACTTTTCAATATAATTTTGAAGGCTACAAATGTCAGATGAGTGGAGAAGAAGTGTGTTGATTCCTATTTTTAAGAATAAAGTGGTAGGAAATAATTGAAGATCTCAAGTAAACCCTAACAAGAGAGACAAAAACAACAAGAATGATCTACAAATTCGATGGGAAACAAGCAGAACAGTGGTTTTTATTGAAGAAATCAAACTAACAGAAGAAATAAAAGCAAAATACAATTGTGATTGGAAATACTTGAGTTCACAAGTAATCCTATCGAATCTACTTGAGTTCGCAAGCAACCCTAATTCAAATTAGATCAAAAACAACGATAATAACCGAGCTCAAACAAGAAAAGCAAAGTCAACTTTATTGAAAACTCAAAGAAAAGAACAAAAGCAAAGATACAAGTGATCCTCTATTTGAGAGGAGGATCATTCTCTCCAAATCTCTAGACGCTAGGTCTAGAGCCCAAAACTTCAAGAGACGCCAAGAGAACTTTAATCTAAGCATGCCCTCTCCCTTACCCCCCTCATCTCTATTTAATGCCTCTCCACTGCCCCCCTCTTCTTTTCCTAATAAAAAATAATGATTCAAATATTCCCTACCTTCCATATTTGCATTTAATTCAAAAACTAAATTCCCATTGGTCCCCAATTTGGCAAGCAAGAGCCGTTGGGCCCCCTTAGGCGGTAAGGAGAGGCGGTTTCCACTGCCTCTGGTACACCCGACCCCCTTGGGTCGGTTCGGTTTGGGCCCAGGTCGGAGGAACCGACCTATTAATACTGCCTTTTCAAAGAACCATCTTGTTCTCAAGGTGGAAGGAAGGAAACTGTTGCTTGATTTGCTCATAAGGTTCCTAGGTTGCTTCATAATCTGGAAGCCCTTCCACCTGATTAACACCTCTTTGAATCCTCCTCCTTAGCGCACCCCTTGTAATTCATGGGCTATGCTGCACCGATATGGATACGACGACACGGATACGACACGATACGGATACGAGATACGTCAATTCTTAAAAATACAGGATACGGGTACGGCGCGGACACGGCATTATAATTTATAATCATACATAAAAAATTAAGAAATCAATCAAAGCATAATATTTGAATAAAAAAAAAATGACGACAACAACATTTGTAGCCTTGTAACTTATAATATCAAAATATAAGTAAGCATTAAATGTCTAGTACAACAACAAAAGCATAAACATAAATTATCTACCACATGGAGTTTCAACTATTCAATAGAATGAATGATATAATTATCTTCTTCATTGGTTTGTCTTTGAACTTCTATATCATCTTTAATAAATATCATAGCTTCTAATTCAAGCTCATCAAGTGAAAGATTAGTAATTTTTAAAATTTTCATATCATCAAGAGACTCAAATCCATCTCAGAAATGAGATAATCTTGCTCGCAATCGCGGAAGTAAATACGACAAACCTTTTTTCTTCGGATTTCTTTTTGTTTTTTAGAGGACACGCGTATCAGATACGTGTGTGCTTTTGAAATTAAATAATATTTTAATTGTATACGGCTTTGGCGTATCCGACACGTATCGGTGGAGTATCGGAGGCGTATCTGTGTATCGGTGTATCGAATACAGCACGCCTTCATAAATAGGTGTATCGGTGCAACATAGTTCATGGGGTTCCAAACTTACTTCTAGATCTTCAGTTAAGGTGACGGGTAATTCAGATCCGCTTAAAAATCTCCAATGGCTCTTTTTAATTGTGATACTTGAAAAACTGGGTGTATAGTAGCTGTGGGTGGTAACTTTAGTCGATATGCTTCTGTCCCAATTTTCTACAAGATTTCATAGGGCCCATAGTATCTTGGAGCAAGCTTCTCGTTTCTTCTATTGGCCACTATCTTCTGTCGGTAAGGTCAAAGCTTAAGTAAAACCTTTTCCTCGATCTCGAACAAGATGTCCTTCCTATGCCCATCAGCTTGTTGCTTCATAATCTGTTGGGCCCTTAGAAGGTGTTATTTTAATTTTGCTAACACTTTATTTCTTTCCTCCAAGTACTCCTCTACAGAAGAGACGGGAGTGCTGCTACTTCCACTGGACACCAAGCGAGGAGGATCCCTTCCGTATAATACCTTGAAAGGTGTCATCTAAGAAGCAGAGTGATAAGACGTATTGTACAAATATTCTGCCCATGATAGCCACTTAGCTCATAGCTTAGGTTTTTTTGATACGAAACATCTCAAATAGGTCTCCAAGCTTCTGTTAACTACTTCGGTCTGGCCATCTGTTTGTGGGTGGTAGGCAGTGCTCCATTGGAGAAGTGTTCCCTCTAGCCTGAACAGTTCTCTCTAGAAATGACTGAGGAATACTTTGTCTCGATTTGATACTATGGCCTATAGTATCCCATGTAATCTGACCATCTCCCTGATAAAAGTGGCTTCCTTTATTGTAGCGGTGTAGGGGTGCCGAAGAGGAATGAAGTGTGTGTATTTGTTGAGTCTGTCTACCACTACCATGATTATAGTGAACCCTTCTGATCGAGGTAGACCATCTATAAAGTCCATAGACACCTCCTCCCAGACCTTGTTTGGAAGTGCCATGGGTTGTAGCAGTCTTCTTGGAGCCATTGACAGGTACTTGTTTTGCTGGCATATCTCACATTTGGAGACCATGTCCTCCACGTCTTTGTTCATCCCTTTCTACTATAATTCGACAGCTAACCTTTAGTATGTTTTCTGTACTCTTGAGTGGCCTCCTACTGTACTCCCGTGGACTTCTTGTAGTAGAATTGGAATGTGGACAGAAGACTTTGGCAATACAAATTTCCCTTGATGTAACAGTCTCCCTTCCTCGAATGAGTATCCGGGGTGGCTGCCTGGATCGCACACTAAATCTTCTCGGATCTGCCTTAATCCTTCATCCTTAAAACTCTCTTCCATGATTGCCTCCCAATCCATTAGTAGTGGTATTGAGACTGCTATCCCTTGTAATTCCCTACACATCTTGATAGAGCGTCTGCGGCTTTATTTTCCAAACTTGGCTTGTATTGTATCTCGAAGTCGTAGGCAAGGAGTTTGGATAACCACCTCTGATGTTCCTCGGTCACCATTCTTTATTCGAGTAAATATTTTAAACTCTTTTGATTTGTTCTTACGATGAAGTGCCTTCCTAGGCGGTAAGGTCGCCATTTCTGGATGGCCAGGACAATTGTCATTAACGTTCTTTCATATACTGACTTTAATTGTGCTCTGGTTGATAGGGTTTGGTTGAAATATGTTATAGGCCTATGTCTTTGCATGAGGACCGCTCCCAAACCATACCCGGATGCATCGGTCTCAACTACAAAAATCTGGCTGAAATCGAGAAGACCTAATATCAGTACCGTCGTCATTGTTTCCTGTAGTTTCTCAAAGGCCTCTATTGCCTCTTTTCCCCATAAGAAGCTGTCCTTCTTTAGTTGCTCGGTTAGGGGCCTTGCGATAGTACTGTATCCTCTCACAAACCTCCGATGGTAGCCTGTGAGTCCTAGAAACCCCATTAGTTCTCTTAAGTTCTTTGGTATAGGCCATTTTTGCATAGCTTTAAATTTGGTAGAATCAGCTTCTACTCCCTCTTAAGAGACCACGT